AAAAGAAAGAATGAATAAAACATGGATTATTACTTTATTAATTACAGATTACAGAGAGAAGGTTAGCAGAGCAACCCTCATGTGTAGTTCCTTCACACTATTGCTTGTTTGTCTCCTTAAAAATGATTCTGCTATTTGTTAGATAGCATTACAAGAAGAAGCCATCATGTCCTAGAATTAATATGTGCTTAAGCAGCTTGTGGCAGGCTGGCCACATAGAGTATATTTGTTGCAGTGATAGCTTTTTAGGTAAAATGTGTTCCCTAGCTCCAATTGTCAAATTAGTTTGGTCTAAACAGTGGCTGATTAGCTGCGTTTCTCAGGTTGTTTAGAGCTTACAAGTCCTCAGAACCACAAATCACATCAAAACTATGCACCCATTAAGAGATCTTTTATAATGTTCAAACCATACATGTCAATTATTTAGAAAATGTGTACTGCCTAAGAGATTTTAGCTGCCATCTTTCTCATCAAATGAGAAGGCCTGGGATTTAGGTGAAATAAATGTGGAAAGTGACCATCTCTTAATATTGAAATACAGTGATATGTGGAAGTGCTTCAAGCATTTGAACGCCGGTATGGGAATCTCACTGAAGGGGTATCATAAATATTTAAAGCAACAAATGATTTATTGAAATTTACATTTTATGTACATTTTATTTTGGGTTAAGAATTATAGACCAATAAAGACACTTTCCATAATGATGTTCAGTTTTCAAAATTCAGCGTTTGACTGTGAAAAGATTTACCTTTAGACATGTGATTCAAGGAACTCATTAACACAGAGCTTTTATGGCTTTTGCTACCTCCAGCCATCTGAATGAGATAATAACAGCATAGTATATCTTAAATCCAATTTGCATTATTTTGTGTCATTTAAATAATAAGTGATGAGCCCTCTGTAGAGTATATGTTACCTACTGTCAATATGGGTACACTAAGCACTGAAGTCCTTCCACAGCTTTTGCAGGATGGCACAACTATTCCTTTAAGTCTTGGCTTGTCCCAGCTAAAATTATCAACCACCCATAAAAGCATGTGTTTTGCCTTAGATAAATAATAAGGTTATCTCAATATGGGTACTTCACCATGGCTCCACATGTGTGCAGCTTTCTTCTCACACAGTATACATTGCAGGATCAGTGCCTGAGGCGTTTATATAAAACAATGAGTACGTTTTTAACTAGTGTAAGGGCCACTGAGCTGTGGTCCATGGAGTTCCATTTGCAGTAGCGTAGAGTAGTGTAGAATGGTAGATGGCATGAGACAGCCCAGATAACTGTAGAGCTGTCATAGTGACCACAGAATGGTTCCAGTTATGTTCCATGGCCTGGGAGGGGAGCATTCTGCCCCTCTCAAACCTTCATTGGGCCAGTTAAAATTAGTCATTCTTCACATGTAACAGGAAGTATTATGGTGAATTTACAAAAACATGGGATTTGAGGGAATAATATATATATCCATTATAATCCTGTATGATTATAAATCAGAATATGACATAAGAATTCCTTTGGTCTTAAATTTGCAGTAAATATATATATTATTAATAATATATAAGTAAAATTTTGAAGCTGAAATTATTCCCTCTTGTCATTTAAGTAAAGTAGGGCCATCTTCAAGATGAGGTGACTGAAAATTAATTTTGCCATGTACTTTATTGTTCTTGACATATTACAAAACCAGGTGAAATCAAATATTCCAGAAGGCCATGGAAAATATCAGCATATTGTTTTTCTGACTGTGCATCAGTGTTACTGATAAGTATCATCCAATAACAATGTTTGGGGCCTATAATGGGCTGCATGAGATTATAGTCTGATCCAATCTGCTTTTCATTTTTAGGATTTATTAATTTTTAGATAACCTCAGAGCTGAAGCTCCCCAGGAAAGGATGGGGAGTGGAAATATATGAAATCTAGGCTGACAAGTGAAAACGGATTTTCTACAAAATCTTAAGAAATAAAATGAGACCAGATCTTCAGCTGGGGTAAATTGACATAGCTCCACCAATTCCACAGCAGCTACACTGTTTAATACCAGCTGAGGAGACGGTCCTATTTTCCTCCTCATAGTATTCCAAATATATAAAACACTTTTCCTTAGTGCTGACTAACAAAGACTGACTAATGCAGATCAACTTTAGGACTGTTCAGCCCTAAGACATTCCAGGGCAGATTTTAGCTGGTAGAAACTACTATAGCTCCTACTGAAGTGAATGACCGTTTACGCCGTCTCTCCAAATTAACAGAAAGAGCCTGACTCTGAAAACACTGCTATCTATAATGTTTATGACCAGATGTGGTGCCACTGAAGCAAGTGATTTCACTAAGGCTGCTCATGGTTTTTAGTATTATGCACAGTAGCAAGTTTGCAGGATCAGAGCATTGCATTGCATTGCACCTCTTTTCACTCTTTTGCCAGAGTACTTTATAACATCATGCAAAATTGATTGCCTGTTGGGTCTCATTGCTTAATCAGTCTGTTTTAAATTGCCTTTGACTATTTCCACAGCTCAGTTTGTTTGCAGAAAATTGCTGCCATTTGATTCAGCTAATAGAAATAAGAGGTGACATTCAGAAAAATCATTTGCATCAAGTAATAAGTACAAATGCTGCTCTGTAAAGTGAACTGAAGTGTTTTTGATCCCCATTGTTCCACATGCAACTGGAGTGCTTCTTCTGTAACTAAGGGATGACTTTGTCAGTGTGTGAAATTTCAAGTGGTTGTATTCAATCAGCAGTAAGAAGTCACAAATATAAAAGGCTCTCACTAAAATAATCAAAGCATTTACAGTAGCTATTGAAAGATATGGTGAATTAGTTCTTTTGAATGCTGCAATAAGATGAAGGAGTTTGGGTAAAGTTACATACGTTCTTTCCATAACTTCAGTGTGCACATTTACTATTAGTTAGGACCTGAATCTATGAGATTACATGTGCCCCTCTCAATTTCTGTTGGTTTTACTGGAAAATAGGCACTCAGAACTTTGAAGAAGGCAGTCAGCTCCTCCCAGGACTCGACCCTTATTCAGTGTCTTTGGTTTATATTTCCATCGAATTTCTGATATTTGTTCTCCTCTTCCACTTTCCCAGTAACATGGCATTTACAGGAATCACATGTTATTAGTTTATAGATATATTTCTGCTATAATTATGTGTAAATGTTAAATGAATAAATCCCTATGTCATTATATTTCTCTACATAGCTCCTTGCACTACCCTGCCTCTCTAAGAATGCATAAACAAGGCTTGGTGGCAGACATTCCATGCTGAAAGTCCCTGAAAAGCCTGTGTCATGTAATATGGATGCAAACTATTCTTCAGTGCTCTCCCTATGTAACCTTTTGGGTTACAAAGCAGGGGCCTTCCCCCTTATGATATTTCTCTATTAAAGTAGGCGGTCCAAAAGTTCAAGGAAGGGCAGTAAATAGTTGTTAGATTTTGAGATTATAGTGCTTTTGTGATTACTCTAAATATTCTTTATGTGAATCGTCAGCTTGGAATTGTTTTGTGATATTCTATTGCTTTTTTGTTACTGTGTCCTAGGACCTTAACGCTTGGGGATGAAAAAATTTTCCTGTCAGAAACATTGTTAAAATCCTTATACTTCCTTCTCTTTTCAGTAGCAAGCTTATAAACCAACAGTAATTCATATAGTATCTTAATGATTCCATAACGTACAGCATACCTGCTCATTAGAAATGATAAATTTGTCTTCTCATTAATGTTTTCTTGAGGGATTTTACAAAGAAAATGTTATTTTTCTCATAAACAAGTTCATCAACAGATTAAAATATTAAGGGACCCAAAATCTAACCGGGTATCTTTGTTCAAGGTACAATAAACAGTTTTGTGTATAGTTGTGTGTAGGCATTGTGTACATCTCTGTCTCTCTCTTCTCCTCCAAATTATATAGATAGTTAAAACTGTGTTTACCCTATAGTGCTCCACACAGCGATGCTGAAGTTCAGAAGGGCCAGCATTTCCATTATAATCCCGAATGTTTATAAATCAGGAATATGCCATAAGAATACCTTTGGCCATAAATCTGAAGCATAAAATTCCAGAGGGAATTTTTCATCAAATAAGAAAAAAAATAGATCAGCAGGCTTTGCATAAGTGGATCAAATAGTAATTAACTGTTGTGTTTTAAGTCTCTTTTAAATGCTTCCCCTGTTTATGTTTTTGATACAATTCATTCATAGACCATAGAAAATAGAAATGGAAACTATCTGTTAATTCCATTGAAGGTGAGTTAGTTTTGAAATACGATGCCCCACCCTGTTGATGGGCCCGTCATAGAAGAAATGGGGGAGGAGCAAGAAGGGGCTCTGGACAGAACAGATAGTTACCAGGGATGGAAAAAGCTGCTAAAACCCTGGCATCACTGGGGACACCTGCTCTCCCATTTGTCTGCCTTCTCCGCTCCACAACAACTCTTGTGCTTGCAAATGGAGCAGCCACTAATTTGACATCAGAGGGATTATTCAAGTGAGTTGTATAAGCAGAATTTATCCCATAGATTATGCTACTGGCATACTAGAAATACTTAAATTAGTCAGGCACGAGAGATTGTATGTAGCTTCCATTAATGCTCCTGGGAATCACAAGCCCATCAGCTGAACAATACAAAACCTTAGGAAACAACTTGCATAGAAAGAGAGAGAGAGTTCTAGAAGGACCAGTTTGCAGGGACGAGACAGCCATAAAGAATTCAAGGTAATTTCCTAAATGTTAGTTTTAAAAATATAATTTAAAGAGCTTTGATTGGGGCATAATTTTTTGCACAATAAGTATTTTCATAAAATATTGTAGTTCAACAAAAACAAGTGAATTAAAAACTGCCAGTTTTACCCATTTCTCTGATTGTGGTGGTCATAACTCAACCAGAGGGATAATTAAGGATGATCGCTTTTTATACTAGTCTGTTAAAGAATACCATGGTATGAATTTAATTAAAATGCACTAGATAATGGAATGTGGACTTTGTATATTTTGTAGAACCACTAGACGAGTTGAAGATCAGGAGCCACAGTACTGAACCACTACCAAAGTTGGAAAACAAAGAGAGAGGAGGTCACCATGGGACAACTTCCTCCAGGGAGCCAATAAAAGCTCAGGAATGGGATGGAACACCAGGACCACCAGTTGTGTCCAGTAGACTGGGAAGATCCTCTGTTAGTCCAACAATGTTGGCAGGAAACAACAGCTCAGGTATGTGGGAGTTTGTTTCACAAGCAGAGCAAGGAAAGAAATCTCATGATACCATTACAAATATAGGGCCCAATCCTGCAAGGAGCTGAGCTAAAGAAATTGGAAGTTGAGGGCACTTAGTGCCAGCTTTTTAAAGGTATTTAGTTGCCAAAAGATGCATATAGGTGATTAACTTCCACTGAAATCAGCTTTTCATCTATTGTGCTAAATTCTTATTGAAATCAATGGGAATTAGGTACCTAGATGCTTTGGAAAATCCCATTAGGCACTTATCTGCATCTTTGGGCACCCAAATATCTTTAAAAATCTGTCCATTAGCACCTTTCAGGTTCAGGCTTTATATTCCCTATAGCTGTTTTCTCTATTTAGACAGAATTAGGTCCTTAGTAGCTAATGATCAAGAATAAAATTGTACCATTCAAATATTTGAACAAAATTTGTAAATTACACATAATTTTGAGGGACACTGTGGCTAATAATCCTCCAGATTTCACTTCATAGAGGGACAATAATAAATTCAAATGTCACATAAGATAATGAGTAGAACATGCTGTAGCATAAACAAAACTGTCATATTGATATACACAACAGATGAAAACAAGAGGTCCACTCTTTTACGCTTACATGTAAATCAGTCCAAAACTCACTATAGATTTCAGAAGTCAATATTAGTATTCATCAGTGTTATTAATCACATTAACTATTATATACATTTATATATATATAATATATATAGTGACTTGATATAATCCATTGAAATAAAAAAAACCTGCCTATATTTTGTAAAATGTCTATCTAAGCTGAATATAGCTGGCACATGTATAACACTATGAATAATCAATGCAGTGTTACTTTTTTTAAATGTGACAGATCACTAAAAAAGAAGTTTCGTGGCCTGTTTGTTTGCCAGAAATATCCACTTTCATAACAATTGACATAAATAGTTCAGTAATCTCAGCAACAATCTTCTACAAGAGTAAAGACTGTGGATGGTGTCTCATACCGAAACTGATAAACAATAAACCATTTCTGCAGAAGAGATGTTTTTGAGTGAATGGTAGCAGACATTGGTGTCTACATACTGTCATAACAATAGAAGTATGATATCTCTTCTCACTTAAAACACTACTTCAGCGCATGATAAAAGAAGTCTTGCTTCCCAGAGACAAGAAGCCTTGCTTGTTGCTCTGACAACAAGGACTCAGTAGAACTGTAGAACTGTACAAACTTTGCCAAGATGACAAAAGGTTTGCAGCAATCTTTCACTCACTTTTTCCATTATAGATTTCTGTAGTTACTCTGCACTACATTCTGCAGAATATTTCTTCTGGTAGGGAAAAAAATGTCTTCTTTATAGATCCAATCCTGCATACCCCTCATCAGTGTAAATTGGCAAAGTATACCTGGCAAAGTATTTAGCTATTTTTTTTTATTTATTAGGATTTTTTTAAATGTACCTATTTATTACGCTGGTGAGTAAGGGTTTGCAGGATTAGATCTTAGGAGTGGTGTGGTGTTTAGATGTTGCTTGTAATTATTAGAATTGGAAGCACTGGCTGTTGGGAGTCTCAAAGGACAGGAAACAGGAAGGAGGGAGGAGGAGTTGAGAGGCTGGGAGTAAGCTACAGAGGGTGCAGCAAAGTGAGTAAGAGAAAAGTTTACCTTTATAGGGTTAGAACCTGTGAATGTTTTAGATAAACTCAAGGGACTTTGTCCTGCACATTATAGTATCATTTACACCAGTGAAAGATTCTACCAGATCAGAATGCCAGGACAGCACAGACTCAAACCCACGGTACATACCAAACTCTTTAGTCATGCTAGACAATAATATTGAACAGAACCAAGAAAAAGGAAAATTAATCAGAGGGACCCAGTCTCTGTCCATCCCTCAATATGAATAAAGCATAAACAAAATATTTCACTTCCATCCAGCCCTTATGCAGAGGCTGCTGTGGGGGACTTCATTCATCTCACAGTTAAATCATGCAAAACACTCACCGGCTCCAGTCCTAAATCAGCATAGCTCTCTAGACTTCAATGGGTGTCAGATTAGGCCTTACAGTAAGCTACCTGTGGCTGTGTCTTGTCTTTTACTACAAAGACCATCAAAGCCTCAGATGGCAAGTGCAATTGTTAGTATTATACAAATATTTTATTGGCTGAATTAAGCCTCTTTCTTCCCCCCAAAGAGTATCTTTGTGGTTTTTTCAAATGTATTATTTACTACAATTCCTTTGAGTTGCGCACCCCGGTGAGCCATATACATTTTTCCCTGGATGGGATCCATAGCTCTTGCACCAAAACATAATTGACTTTTCCTCATTGTGGCATTTCATTCCCAGTGCGGCACACTGTCCTTGTGGATTGCAACTGTTGCAAACAAACTAGAATTACAGTACAATGAAAAACAAAAATTAAGGTTTAGATTTATCTGGATAGGTACAGGTACATTATCAAGTCAATGTGATTTATTGTATGTACTGTTAGAACTGTGCTGGGAATCTGGGACCCAGATTAACTTGTTCTGGGGCCTGATTCCAATTGTGTTTATAACAGTTTTACACAGTGTAACGCCACTGACTATTTCGGTGGGTTACTCTTGATCTACACTGGTGCTAGTAAGGTTGGAATCAGAGCTCAGGCCTCTCCAGAAAAGATCATGGGCCCTTTTGGTGGGCACACAAAGTTTAAATTACCTTAGGTCACTAATTCCACCTGAATAACAATTTTCACAGCACTGGATCATTCTCTCATCTATCAAATAATTTCTCAGGGACATTTGCACCCTATCTGCATGATACCGTTTCTCTCAGAGAGCTCCATTTGGAAAGCATTGTCAATGATCTTTTACGCACACCAGCATTCAAAACATGTCCTTGCAATTTCAGGGCAAAGTCACAGGAGGTTTACAAAATGGGAGGCACATGTAATTTAACTCCAGGAGTTTTGAAGAACATTTTCTGGAATGTTGCTCTCTTATTGCTACTATGTAGCATTTTGCATTACCACCTGCTGCGAGAGAGAAGCATTTCTACATTGCATTTTAAATAGTTTATAGAACTGGTTGTTGGGCGGAGGGGCGTTGTTTTATAATCGCCATCTATTAGAAGCTCAGCCAACACATTTAGCATTCAGGCTGAATACTCTGCAGATGATCGGGAAAGGAATGCGTATACTGTACTTAATCAGAGTTTGTGGTTAGGATTTCAAAGTATAATCAACTGTTAACCTCAAGCGCTATGGGAAAAACATTGACACACACAAAAAAGCCCCTTGGGAGGCCGAAGAGATATAGGGCCTGATTCATCCCTGCTATCATGGCGCGGGAGGCAAACTGTCCCAACCTATGCCTGCTTCATCCAAGGAGGATTCATCCCCAGGGGAATGGCAGGCAGTAGCAGAGCACTCTGAATGGCAGGCAGTAGCATTCTCCAAGTGAGGGTAGCTTTAAACTGGCGGTCTGTGCTCCATTAAAGTCCTGCTGAAAGATGACCCCGGGATGCAGAGATGCATATGCAGTTGAAAATAAAAGTTTGCTTGTATAAACAAATCTGTGTTCATAATACACAGTTCTATCACTCCTTCCTAGATGACAGTGTATAGGCACCTGCCTACCCCTATAGAAGGAAGTATATTTTTGGATAGAATACAAAGGAGACCCAATAAGCTGTGGAGAAGGTACATGCATATAAAAAAAATCTTCAGATTGTGACCCTTTACACATAAGCACTTCACCATTTTATGGCATATATGCATATTCAGACCATAGGAATTGCCATATCAGATCAGACTAATCATCCATCTGGTCCAGTGTCCTGTATCTGACTTTGGTCAGTGCCAGCTGCTTCACAGGAAGCTGCAAGAAACCTGTAGTGGACTATTATAGAATAACCTGTCAATATGGGATGTTTCTTCCTTGTTCCCAGCAGTTAGTGGTTGGTATATGCCCTGAAATGTAAGGGTTTATATCCCATCAAATTTTTTTTTAAATCTATGTAGCTGCAGGTGTTCTTTTTAGCTCTGTATAAATGTCTAATCCTGTTTCTGAATTCTACCAAGATATTACCCTCAATGATACTGAGTTCCAGAGACTTATCATGTATGGTATACAAACATTTCTTTTTAAATGCACTGCTCTTAAGTTTCAACACTGAATGCCTCCTGATGGCAGTCTCATGTCAAATATTTTTAAGAAAGAAAAATATCAAATGATTTCTTCCTATACAGTATTAGAACATTTCCAGTTATATTACAGATTATTTATATTTATTAGGAGACCAGTGAGGTTACGTCAGTATAACAATAATAGATGAAATTCGTTTTAAAATGTGCATGTTCAGTTTTTTTGCATAGGATATACATCTTGTCATGTCTTATTGTTTAATTCAAGATGTGCTTCTTGGCAGCAATAATGCATAAGCAACTTCTATTTTCATGTGCAAAGGAGAGACTGCGGCAGGATAGGAAGTGTTTCTAGTGTGACAGCCAGATAATTTTTTTTTAAATTAAGATTAGGATAGGCAGAATGATGACTCCTTGGGATGCATAAAAGAGATCTCTTCTGATCAAACCCAGAAATAAACATCCTGCAGAACAGTTGTGTAATGGATGAATGCAGGAAACCACCTCTTGTTGTTATAAAACAAATCTAAATCATTTCAGAAAATTCTGGCCTTAGAACAGAGATGTCTGCTATGTTAGCAAAGAATACACCCTTAATTGAGGACAACGGGCTATGCAGATACTCAGCATCTTTGAAGATCAGGTCACTTATAAATGAGCATAAAATTAGATTTAGATGCCTAAATTTAGGTGCCCCCATTTGTTAATCTATGCCCTATGTTTTTATGGGAAATCAGGGTTTGCTTCTTAGACACTGATCCTACAACATGATCCCTTATGTCCATGTGGAGTTCCACTGATATCCTGCTCAATGACTTCACTGAGAATGAGTCTGGCCCTTAGTGTGTACTTCATTTCACATGATACAATGTGAAGGAACCGGCTTTTGAAGCTGAGAAAACTATCACAACAAACATTTCATCAGTAAATATAGCAACTAAATATTTTCTAAATATTTGTCTTTGACATAAATAAAATCTTGAAAACAACCCACTACATTTTCAACATGATCTGCTGAGTTCAAGTCACGTGATGCCCATTGATTACAACAGGGATCTCATGGCTATTCAAATACATGGCATCCTTTGGCTCCCATCTAGTAAAGCACTTATCCATATGCTTGGGACTTCCCTAGCATAGCAGGAGATCCTCAGGATCAACTGTCAGCAGTTGAGTGGCTAGTAGCAATGTCACACGGCCACTGTCTCTGTGCTCTGAAAGGAATTTTGCACTTGGAATGGGATGTGGCCTTTGGGACAGAATTATTTAGAACTCCAAGTTCTTACCACCCCAGAGATCCATGTCAAAGCACACATTCCTCCAGTCATGGCCAAAACTGGCTCCTGCTTTGTTGTTAGGCACACACCTGGGGCTCAGCGAGGTTATGTTAGCACTTGACATTGATCTGTCTCCACTTCAGGTTTGCCATCATGCTTTCCCTGGAAGCCAGCCCTCCTCTTTGCTGGCAAACAGTTTGGGACCCCTTGGGGACAGCAGCAGAGAGTTTTCAAACTAACTCTGTCTGTTTGCTCCCAGAATCAGAATGTGCATGAAGCCACAGAGCACTGTAGACAAGTTCAAATTTGTCATTTGAAACACACAGCTCAGAAACTGAATTCACTGAAGGGGAAAGGATGCTGGGCATCATTATACACAGAGTCCTCCTGCAGCTGTTAGGGGACCCTATTCAGAACTTCTTACTCAAGAAAAATGCTCATTGTACTCCAAGTCTGGTTAGCTGAGTACAGGGAATAAGGAGTACACAAGGGACAAAAAAGACATAGCACTGGATACACTGAATATGGTGTGGTCAGCTGTGCAGACAATATCTGACGGATCATTTAGGGAAAAAAATTGCATTCCATTCCACAGCATGAAGAAGTTAGTCACAGCAAAAATTTCTGTTTCATGTTCCCAATTGATTCAGTGTAAAAATAATACCATTGATATCAATGGAACTGTCCCTTAAAAAAGAAATTCTTATTCACCTAAACTTCTGGATGTGAAAAAGCTAGATAAGCATTGATTGGAAACTTCCCATAGTAAGAACCATGCTGGAATTTGCAATAGTTTCTGACACTTGAATATATTGCCAGGGAGATAAAAGAAGAAACTAATATTTCATCTGAGTTGGATGGATTTTATTCTTTGATGCCAGATGAAAGGATTGTCTTTGGCAAGGAAACAATGGGCTCTCATTGCAGCAAGTATATCCAAATTGGAAATTATGACATTTTTCTCTGCTTTCTCAAAGCAAAAAAAAAAAAAAAAACAATTCAGAAGCAATGCCTTGGAGTTTTTGACATCAACAATACTAACCAAGGTAATGCTGGATGGGAATCTGATTTTTCTTAACATAGAGACAGTGTAGCATCTGTCCTTAACAGATAAACAAAACAAAAATAAGCCCCAATTTTTTCTCCCATGGAAATCAACAGGAAAACTCCAGTTGCTAGTGTATATTCTAGTAAAGGAAAAATCGGGTGCCTTGCACACAGACAGTGTGAAGAAATAAATGATTTCAGATGTATAATAACAAATTATCTCAGAACAGATCTAATCAACTGAACAGTGTACTGTCCTCATTCAGAAAGGCAAAACATCAGATTATGTACTGGTGCAGGCTGCCAGCTCTCCTGGAGACTCCAGAAGGAGTTGTTTGGGTAAAAGTGGGTGGTGGCAATGGAAGGAAGGTGGCCTGCTGACCTGCTCAGAAAATGAAATGGAGGAAGTGACCCAGCCAGCAGCCACTGCAGATCCTTAAAGGCCAATGCTATGGAGAGGTGTGTTCTGGTCATCCAGCGGCATATATAGAATGGCATTGGGGGAAGATGTTCTTAGCCAGACATGAGAAAGCACATGTCTCTCAGTCAGACATAGGCAGATAAGATATATGAGAAGATGCACATCAAAGCTAGACATGACAGACCATCATCATGGGGAGATGTGTGCCTTCAGATAAACTTGGGCTGATATAAACTGTGAGAAGACACGTCTTTTCAACCAGATGAAGGAGATGCATTATTGTTTGTATTACAGCAGAGCATAGGGATCCCAAATAAAATCACAGCACTGTTGTGCTGTGCAGTGTACAAACACAGAGTAAGAGACAGTCCCTGCCTTGAGGTGTTTACAGTTTAAATAGACAGGACCGATAAAGGGTTGTTGGAAGGGATATAACATACAAGCAGAATAAACACATTCCTCTGAGCCAGACGAAGGCAGACCAATGCCTGGAGGAGACATGGGCACTGCAGTTCTTTCAGGGAGCAACATTTCTCTCAACCAGAGATGGGCAGATCAGATTCCCAGAGAGATATGTTCTTCTAAACCAGCTGCAGACAGACCATTAGGTGGTAAATTTCTCCCAGCTCGGTATTTATCCTGGGATCATTGCAGTAAATTGAATTGTAACTCAGTGGGAAATCTTCCAGGAAATGTCTCTGGGTAAAACCAGGATAGGGAAATCAAATACTTCTGCATCAAAATTCTTTTCAGGTGCCTGAGATCTCTCTCCTGTTTCATAGTGTCCTTCACTTCTGTTAATCACTCCTACTTGGGGAACACACAAGCTGGAGACAACACAATGCAACCAACTTCACAGACTCCATTGCTGAGGCCTGTGTCATGCTATTAAAACTTGAAGTTTCTTCCCTCTACTCTGTGTTCTGCGGCTGACCTTGACTCACTGTCAGCTACTTTCAGATTTCTGTGTGGCCCTCATGACATCACAAATCATGATGTCTTGATTCTGGAAAATCTCTAACTTCCCATTTTCCCCACCTACCCCATCACCCTCTCCTACCTTTGTCCACTTCCCCAAGAACTGTGTCTTCTTTGTGATTTCCCTCCGCTTCCCTCAGCCTCACCACCTTTTTGTCCTCTTCCACTATCTATCCCACTCAGCCGCTGAATGAGGGTATTGGACCACAAGTTACCCCTCTCAATCACCCCTCACCAATCACTGCCACATTATGCAAGTGAGAGAGTTGGGCACTGGGACTGCCACAGCGTGTGGGTGGAGGGCAGAAGGAAAATTGGATGTGCTTCCTATCTCCGCTGCTCATTGCTCTACTCTTCAGCCTCAGAGATGCTCCTGGAAATTAAAGAGGTTGAGACAGCGAGGTGTGGGGAGAAGTCAGTTCCAGGCCTCTCTCTTGCCATACTGGTGGCTAGTGCCTAGAAGACAACTTTTATTTATGACTCAGCCAACTTCCCAAGACATTGTCCAGGAATATGTGCCTGAATTCCATACCTTGGGAAAGTTCTGGGGAGGTTGGCAGGCAGGTGAATGGCACTTACAGGACCTCTAGTTCTCTATGTCACCTCAAGTGTCAAGTTACTGCACCAACATCAACAATCCCATTAATTGGGCATATGTCTTCTTTTCTCTCCCTTCCTAGAGCCTAAAGCAAGCTGTAGATTAGGTCGATCTGCATCCACATCAGGTGTGCCTCCTCCATCAGTTACTCCTCTCAGGCAAGCCAGCGATCTCCAACCCAGCCAGGTACCATCGTTAGCCAATCGTGAATGACTTCATGTGATGCAACATGCCAAATGTTTCTCACCTCTGTGTCTGTCATTTGTTACAGTAAATGATTTTTTGTGTTTGTTTTTACTTTTGTGCGTGTGCGTGTGTCTCTCACTGGCAATGAAATTCTATCCTTCAAGGCTGGTAGAAATTTCTTTGCTGTGAATTCTTAAATCTTTTTTGTCTCTGATTTCCTTCATTCTGTAATATAGATGTAGTGAAACTATATATGTATTGGTTGTTTTTTTTATTTTTTTCATGTTTTGTGTACTTTTTTACTGTCTAAAATTTATCAAAATTTGATAAATTTAATCTATGTTTTAGTGTGTTTCTTTTAAATGTCTCGTCTAAAGCACTTGCACCAATGTTTGTCAAAAGACTTGTACATACCTTTTAACTTCTGCCCTGTTGTACTGTAATATTTGTGCCAGTCTTACATTTGTTTTGAGCTTGGTGCATGATTGTATTACACTGTGAATTATCGTTGTCCTTAAAATTGCTCACACGGCAAGTTATTTTGTTTAAATATGGCAGCTAGCCTCTCTTCAACCTAAGGCCATATTAGTGCTAATGGGACTATTAAATGGTCTGCTGTAGTTATGTTTATTGTAAATTGTAAAAAAAAAAATGCAAAAAATTCAAAACGAAACTAAGAAAAAACCCTACTTGCTTTAAATGGAGCTACTTTTCTCAACAATACCAAAAATGCCCAATGGACACTTGACAAAGAAATCTAAGTATCTGAACACGGCAAATGAGACCTATATTAGCAACTGGAGAAAAGAGATGAGAAATAAAGACATGGCCAAATGCACATGTAACTTTGTTTTGTCTGCTAATGTGGAGATCCTGCTCACTTCAGTGCACACAAGTGATGAGGTGTTTTACTAATCTTCAGAACTAACTACAGAGATTAGTAATAGGGGCAACGACTGCATTTAAACATTGCATTTATGTCTTCCATCAAACATGAAGCATTTTGGTATTGAATGGTTTTCTTTTATACTTATATATATTATTTCTGTTTACTTAGTTGTGATTTTTCAAATGATCAGAAAGGAATAAGGACCCTACATCTCATTGAATTTCAATGAGATGTAGGGGCCTAACTCCCTTTAGGGCCCCTTTGCTATTCCCATACTTAATTGCATTGCAGCTCTGTGAGTTTCTGCAAGAAGCTCTGCTCTAACTAACGCCTGTAATGCTGGTGTACATTGGCACAGCTAATGGAGCTGTGCCGATTCACTCAGCCTATTTTCCAGTAACATTCTATTTGGACAACTGAGTCCATATTGGTTGAACTTCTCTAACTTTGCTTAACTGAAGTAAGAGCTGTTTTATTACAGTAGAACCTCAGAGTTACGAACCCCAGAGTTACGGACTGACCGGTCAACCGCACACCTCACTTGGAACTGGAAGTCTGCAAGCGGGCAGCAGCAGAGACAACAAAAAAAGGGGGGCAATTACAGTACAGTACTGTGTTAAATGTCAACCACTAAAAAATAAAGGGAAAGTTTAAAAAAAGGATTTGACAAGGTAAGGGAAACTTTCTGTGCTTGTATCATTTAAATTCAGAGAGTTAAAAGCACAGTAAAGTTTCAAAACTGTATTAAGTCAATGTTTAGTTGTAAACTTTTGAAAGAACAGCCATAATGTTTTGTTACAAACTTTTCAGAGTTACAAGCAACCTCCATTCCCAACATGTTCGTAACTCTGAAGTTCTACTATAATTTTGTGTCCTGTTGGAGATGATGCCTAAAAAAATCTTACACATTACCAAAATGTATTTTAGATAAGCAAATTAATGGTGACTCACAATGACAAGCTAATTAAATGATATGTTGAGAGTTCTTTCTTCTACGGAAAAAAATCAGAGCAATTGCACTTCTGAATATTTTTGCATGGCCCGATGTATATGTAATATATGATTTATGATTGATCAGGGTGCAAAGCCAATGCAACACATTGCTGGTTACTCAGTCACAAAGGCACCTTGAATGTTATAAAGGATTTTTAGTATCTCGGTTCGGATTTAAAAAAAAAAAACAATAAGCCCTGAAAGCAGAACTCTGTGTGATGATAGAGATAAGGAGACTTCCAGAAGCTGCAGCCAGGGTTGATTAGAACTGTGGAGAAAGGATTCACTTCACTCTAGAGAGAAGAAAGGAATAAAGATGACAGGAAAAAAATTCAAGTAACTAAAAGACGAAGATTTTGCTAACAGTGTAGTATATAGTGTGTATAATGGCTCTCCCCCCAAAAAAACCCCTGCTACCCTAGTAATAGGCTTCGATTCATATGAATCTTCCCTTTAAACTGACCAGTTGGGAAAAAATAAAGCACTGGTGTGCCACAATACTCTATTATGATGGTATAATTATCAATGAGAGGGCTTGGTCCTGCTCTCATTGAATGGCAAAACTCTCATGGACTTCAAGGAGAAAAGGATCAGGCCCAGAGTTTCTAAGAGCAGTTAACTGCATATTACATCGCACCCCACAAGTGGGGAAATTAACTTCACAACTCTGTCGTAGATATTGTCATCTGATATTACCAAGCATTCCCTCACTTATAGTACCACTTTCTGTGGCTCTGATACAAAGCTTGTTAAAGTATTATTCTATTCAGTTCTGTTGGTTCTTGGATCAGGCCTTATAGAGTTATAGTCCATCTCTTTTCGGTCCTCTGGTGTGTTCCATATGAAACTCTTTACATGTTAGAAACTTCATTCAACCTTTTTTTTAAAAATGACATAGTAAAAATATCTTGTATTGCAGGGAGATTTTAGAGACTATGAGCCAAATTCAGAGGTGACAACAGTGGGAGGAGAGAGTCTTAGTAGGCATCCGCTGCTGTTAACTAGTATAACTTATACATTGATGGAGTTGGAAGGCAGGATTGCACCAGGAAGTGCAATTGACAGGAGGGTGTAAGAAGATGTAGGATAAAGCAAGGCCCTGGGGCAATAGAAAATCATGCTGAACACTGCTAATTTGTAATGCTGTATGGGAAGATGGTCAGGTATGGGTGTGTTTGTTTGGGTACCTGTGAGAACAGCAAACATGGCAGCCGTAGAGGGTGAGTAACCTCATTGGCATGGTACCTTAAAAAGTTGTTTTTGACAAATACCCAAACAGAACTCCAAAATCACTGGTTAGTGTTGTCTCATCAGCGTTGAAATACCTTGCCATTGCATGAATGAAATGAAAAGCCAAGCCAAAAGAAAGCAGTGAAGATAGATAGGAGGAGCCTTAGCCTAACTGAGTTCCCAGGGAAGCCAATGGCCAAACTCTCACCGACATGAATGGTGTAGAATCAGGCCCTAAGTGGCGGCGGCAGGAAAATCCCACTGAACTTCTCCAATGAGAACCAGGAGGAGAGGATGAAAGACAGCAGTTATATTATGTACACAGACATCACTGGGATTTTTTGTGTAAACCCTGGCACAACTCAGTCCCTACTCTAGAGTCATATTCCCATATTACCGTGGTATGCAACACCCTGGGTCAAGTGAAATGTGTGTGAAGAAGGATAGGGGCTGTTAGCCCACTGGAAGTCAGATCAGTTGTGGACTAGTGTAGTGGTTCTCAAAGCCAGTCCGCTTGTCCCTTGGCCCACGCCGCTTCCCGCAGCCCCCATTGGCCTGGAGCAGCAAACCTCGGCCAGTGGGAGATGCGATTGGCCGAACCTGCGGACGCGGCAGGTAAGCAAACCGGTCCGGCCCACCTGGGGCTTTCCCTGAACAAGCGGCAGACCGGCTTTGAGAACCACTGGACTAGAGGGTATTATAGTCCTATGCTATGGTTGTCTTAGAGTACTGAGGCTGGTTTTCCCTAACTGCACCATAGCATTGGCAGCAACAGGCTTTCCCAAAGATCATTCAGGATTAAGAAGCAAGGAGCTTTGCGTGGCATCCACCCTAAATGTGTGAGGTGGGGATAACCATCACCCAGTGCTCTTTGCAGACAAGGCCCCAAGAAAGAAGAACACATAGGAAAAGAGACAGACTACTGCGTTAGCCCAATTATCCCATATGTTCATGGACTTGGGTGATGCTCTTGAGTAGGAATAGATCCTAAACCCATTAACTGATTTCAGGTAGGTTCACGTTTGCAGCTGAACATTTCACAAAACCCTACCTACGTTATAATATGATCTTTTTTACACCAGGTGGGGAGGAGAGGTCTAGTGGTTAGAGCATAGGATGAAAAGCTAGGAACTCTTAAATTCTAATCCAGCTCAGACATTAACTATTTGTGTAATCTTGAGCACCTAAATCCTCTGCCTCACTTTCCTCATCTGTATACTGTGGTAATAATGGTGGTTAACATATTTCAGAGGAGTGTTGTGATGACTGACTAGTTAATGTGTGTCAAGCACTTTGAAGATTGAAAGTGCTTTATAAGGTGCTAAGCGACATTTTGATCTCACTGTATGAATAAAACAAAAATATTTCTTCAACAGGCAGAGACAAAGTAAGAGACTGGCCTCTGATGGAGAACAGCTATAAATTATCTAGTGCAGTAGGGAACAGGAGTTAAAGAAGCAGGAGGTTGGAATAGGGGATGTAAGGCCAGCAACCAGAATTCTCAAAGAGAAAGACCCAAAGCAAGAGCCATGTAAAGGCAAGCCCTAGCACTCAGCTAGGTAAACCAGGTGTGCCCTTGATCATTTTATAATTATAAATACAGTAAAGAAAGATAGATGCTGCTGAGTAGCTGGGTAGTTTAAGGGATTCTGAACCTTTCACCATTAAGTTGCCATTTGAAATCCAGTCTAGATTGGAAGTGGTCAAATGACCATGTAGTGTGTGGCCTACTATGTTGACTGAGTTACTGGCTTCAGTTCCTTGTCTACCTGACAAAATGCATCACCATCACGTTGGCACCAACTGGCAGTCTTACTAGAGAAGTTAAGCTTCCAATAGACAGAGGGTGGGGTTTTCAAAAGTGTCATGGAGCACAAATCCTTAGTGG